GTGCCCACCCCCCTCTGAACCACCAGCGTGAGCCGCGCTCGGTACCGACTCCCTGAAGCAGGCCACCCGGCTCTCACCCCCCTGTTCGTTTTAGGTTTCCCTTAGTCCTGAGCGGTACTGAGCCCATGCTTAGGCTCCGCTTACTAACGTGGGACGTGAAGGACACGCTGCTGCGGCTGCGGCAGCCGGTGGGTGAGCGCTATGCGGCCGAGGCCCGGGCTCGGGGGGTCCAGGTGCAGCCAGAGGCTCTCGGTCGGTCGTTTCGGGAGGCGTATGGAGCCCAGAGCCGGCATTTCCCCAACTACGGCCGGGGCCAGGGGCTCAGCTCCCGGCAGTGGTGGGTCGATGTTGTGAAGCAGACCTTCAGGCTCTCAGGCGTGCACGATGATGGAGTCCTAACACTGATGGCAGAAACCCTCTACCATGACTTCTGCAGCGCCTGTAACTGGGAGGTGCTGCCGGGAGCCCACGAGACCCTGAGCCAGTGTTGCCAGCGTGGCTTCCACATGGGGGTTGTTTCCAACTTTGATAACCGGCTGGAAAATATCCTCTCCCAGTGCAATCTGAGGCACCACTTTGAATTCATCCTCACCTCCGAAGACGTGGGCTTTGCCAAGCCAGACGGGAGGATCTTTGAGAAAGCCCTGCGCCTTGGCAGGGTCACCCCGGAGCAGGCGGCTCATATCGGGGACGACTACACCCGGGATTACCAGGCAGCCCGAGCCGTGGGCATGCACAGCTTTCTGCTCCGGGTGGCTGGGCAGGGTGAGGAGACACAGGTACCCCCCGAGCACGTCCTGCCCGCGCTCAGCCACCTCCTGGCTCTGATTGAGAAGGGGTAGCTGTGTTTCAGGGGAGCAGTGCTGCTGCCAAGCAGTGAACCAGTCCTGGCCTGTGATTTCTTGCTGATTGGGCAGGGAAAGAAGGGAGCACTTCTGAGCACAGGGAACAGTGCTGCCTGCGGAGCAATAAAATGCATCTGATGCTCAGCGTTGATGCTGCTGTCTTTCATAACTCTAACAAACACTATGGAAGAGGGTCAGAAGTGGGGTCTTCCCCTAATGGAGCTGGGAACGGGGTCAAGCTGCACTCCCAAAGGCTCATCCTGGCAAGAGGGATGGAGGCAGATGTTGAGGTTTATCCCTTCCCAGTAACTGCAGGGAGAGATTCGAGCATCCCCTGTGCAATTGCATCAGCAGAGCTGGGGTTGGTCCGGTCCCAGGGAAGGCCTTGAGCAGAGCACCCAGGAACCTCCCATGCAGGCCCTGCATGCCTTGGTGTACCCCAGGTTTGCCACCTCACCAGCATCCCCTCATCACTTCCTGACATCAGTGGCCAGGAGGGAGCTGCAGGTCTCCCACTGTGGGCAAAACAGTCTGCAGTTGGGCAATTTCACTTTAATATATTACCAATTAACAGACCCTACTGATCTGGGTATTGAGAAATAAAGACAAATTTTAAGCAGATAAGCATCTCTCCTGTCCTTCTCCCTGGCTCAGCTTCAGTCCAACACCTCTCCTTCCTCCATGACATCAGCTCCCTGTGTTTTCACCACATTATGCTCGACCCCCCACTCCCTCAGGTGAGGTGAGGAGCAGCTCAGTTTAGGTTTCCTTATGCTGCTCCTTGCTTCTTACTCTGCTCTGACATGGGCCACAGCCCCTCAGGGATGTCCCTGTCCCAGCATGGGTCCCCCACAGGGTGACAGCCCCCTGTGCTCCCCCGAAAAGTGTATCCAGCTGTGTCCCAGTGATGGCCCTTTCCACATGCCTCCTTCCTGCCATTTCTCCAACCACATCTCTTAATATTTTTTCTGTTTTCTAAAGCCAACTGGGAGACTGGAAAGCTGCCCTTGGTCAGAGAGATATTAAATGATTCACCTAAAAGCAGCTGGCAGAGCCAGGCATTACCCTCACCCTGGCATGGCAGAGGTGGTGTAACCTAGAGGAGAGGAAAGCCGCTGTAAAATATGTGAAGAACAGATGTAGTTGGAAGGCAGGTGTTGTCTGACCACCAGTGTACACACGCCATAGCCCTGCCTGGGCTCCTTCCCCCATAAAGGTACTGTATGGTGTATATACAGCTCACCCCGCAGCGAGCCCAGGGCTTCGCTCACTGCACAAGCGAGATGCTCTGGTGCGCCACAGCAAAGACAGGATAGAGGGGCTCCTGGAAAGTCTCCCTGTGGGAGAAGAGGATGGTGCCGGAATCAGGGTCGTAAAAAAGCACCTCCCCTCCAGCAAAGTCAACCAGCACCCCGATCTCAGCCGGAGACTTGATCAGCTCCACCGCCTGCGGGTGCCCGGCGTGCAAGAACCGGAACTCCTTGTCGTAGCGTGAGAAGACCCAGGAGGCAGCGTTGAAGCCCAGGCGGGCTTCATTGCCAGACCCTTTCCGTGGCAGGGAGCTGTAGCAAACCCCCAACTTGTAAGCGCAGCTCTTCTCCACACTGATCTTCCACGTGCAGACTCCCGAGTGGAAAGCTGCAGTAGCCAAAGCATTGGGCCAGTGGTCAAACCGCTCGGGGCAGTCCAAGTCCACCTTTGCTTTCTTGGGGCTGAAGGTCAGGGTTTTCTTGTCTTCCAACAGGCTGAGGTGGGGGCTGATGGTTTTCTCATCGATGTGAATCTCCTGTGAGCCTGCAAGAGAAGCCATGTGGTGAGCAATAACTCAGTGGCCCCCACCTGAACCACCCATCAGAAACAAACATCACATCCACCCTTTCCTCACACATCACTCCTGAGGACCCATCTCCTCCCCTCGGGTGACATGGTGTTAGGGGCTCGGGCTGGGTGCCAGCTCCCCGCAGCTTCCCCTCTCAAGCCAGGGCCAGAACAATGTAGAGACTCACCAAAGCCAACTTCACCAGACAACTCTCCACCTGCACACTAGTAGTCCTGTGAAGTCAGTCATCTTATCCTGACTCTGGCCCAAATCCCCACAAAACAGAACTCAGCAGGTTTGGTTTATCCCGCTTTTGGGAGAGACCCAAACCTCAGCCCTTGTGTCCTCTCCCACTGTCTGTGAGTAGGACCTGACTTCTCTCCCCACTCAGCCAGGCGAGTCAAGAGCCTTCGCAAGGGCAGCAGGGCTGTTCACAGAAAACCTGCAAAGCTGGTAATACAGGAATGAGGAGGAAGGAGAGGGCTGGGCAGGGGAAAACCCTTTCCTCAAGTCATTGCACACTCTGATAGTGTTTGGAGCAGTGGAGGGAGGTGGCACCAGGCATTATTGATGAGCTCGGCTATGACTCAATTTGCTTTTGTTGTGAATTAAGGGGCTGCCCAGCTGCCCTTGTGCCACAGCACAAACCCAGTGAGCTGCAGTCCAGGCTGAGAGCCAGGCTGGTGGAGGGCACCTGCTCCTCTCCAGGCTGCGGGCTGACAGCACCCAGCACCCCTTGCCCTGCCCTGGCTGCATACTCCCCCCACCAGAGCCCTCAGCGGGTCTGCAGACCGTGCGCAAGCACCAAATAACTGCACGACTGTTTCCCTCACTGTAAATTTGCTAAGCAAAGAGACAAGGCTAATGCCCAGCAGACTTGCCTGCTCCCAGGAAGACCAAGTTTCTACCTGTGGGTGCCCCTCCTTGCCCTGCCTTCTCCACCCTCACTCATTCACTTTAGGTCTTAAACCACCACAGAAATAAGGCTGGAGCATGTGAGTCATTTGGTCTCACAGCCCTACCTCCAGCAAGAGCTCTACCATGTCATGCCTGCTCCGGCAATTTCCCAGCCACCCTCTGCTCACATCCAGCATGTGGCAGGATGAGGCCCTTAAAGAATCAAACCATTATGCTGCACCCTGAACAGGGTCGCCCCAGAGCCCAGCCTGCTCCAGCACCTAATGGAACCCAGGTCAGCATCCCTCTGACACCAGCAGTGCTGGCTGAGGGGTTTCCTAGGGCTGCACCTGCCCCAGTGCTCCCCAGCAAGAGACAAACCGAAGTTGAATTATCGATTTGCACAATGTGGAAGTGCCATGCATGTCAGGTGGAAGTTATGGCAGGCAGCAGCGAACAGAAAGAGGAGCTGAAGACAGCATCCCCTTCCAGTTGAAGCAAATAACCTCGTTCGTTTGATAATTTATTTCACTGAGCAGCAGCCAAACACTTTGCAGAATGCCTGCCCACCACACTGTCCCCTTTTCAGGAAGCCAAACACTGATATGGATTCATAGGAAATGAAGCAGTACAAGACTTTATCTCCCTCTGACAGAAGAAGGGCACTAAACATAGGTACAGGATTGCATTCTGGTGTTCACGTATAGAGGTCATCTGCATGAGGAAATACCACCCCAGTGACACCTATGTAGCTTCGCTGTGGAATTATTACAGGGGAGCATCTGAGGGAGGGGGAGCACTGGCAGAGTAACAGCAGAGTTAATTCAGATCAGCAAATTTTCCCACAGACAAGTGTTTTGTCATGATTAAATCCACCCTTCAGATATTCCCATATATTCTGATGAACAATTCCACCTGGAATTCACCTCAGCCCAAAATCTATTTTCTCTGTGTACAGCACCCATTAGAGTGGCCCTGCCACTTCAAGAGAGACAAGGGATGCTGAGCAAGTAAGTTAACACAGTTAACATCTCTATCCAGAGTCAGTGACCCCAGGGATTGTTCATGAGGTGGCACACAGGACAACTGTTTCCAAATTTTGAAGGATATTGCCACCTTTAAGGAACAAAAAACACATTTGAAATACTCTAACAATGGCCTGGAAGCAAAAGTAAAAGCAAACATTTCACAATCATCAATTCAAGCAGTTCACAACTGGAAGAACACCTCTCCCTGCTCAACAGAGTCAACACCAACCTGGTAAAACTGTACCCAGAGCATGTCCCTGGCCTGACAAACGCCTCCAACACCACCTCAGCTGTACAGCAGAGCTGAACCAGACCACAGATGTCTCTAAAACCACGAGCTCATGCAAAGCCACAATCTCGGCTTATGATCTGAAAGCTACTGCATTTACTCACTTCTTGTTCCAGCATGTCAGAGCATCTCAGACACCACATGGGTGAGTTCACCCTCTGTTAAAATCACCAACAGGCCACTGCTGAACACGGTAAAGAGGAATTTCTGTGAGAGATTCCTACTGCAGCATTAGCTCCACTGCTGTCACCAAGTGACCCAGGAAATAGCAGAAGAAACCAAGTAAGGTTTATCAACAGAGCTGATCGAAGACACAGTCTTTTAAAATCCCTGTTCTCCTCTTAGCCACAACCAGCGGCTTTGAGCCCCTGTCCCCCCTCCCAAACCTCCTACAGCTGCAGCTGCCCCCTTGCCTGGGGGGCTCCAAGCAACTAGCAGGGGCTGGGCCAGCAGAGGAGGGCAGGATGCCCCATGTCTCAGGCAGGGCACAGCATCAGACTGTTTCTTTGGGCACAACAGGAATGAACATGCAAAAATCCCCAGAGCACGTGAGACCTGAGTGAGACACTGACCTGCCATGCAGCAGAGAACAGCAGAGGCCCATAGTCGATGCAGCAGTGGACTCTGAACACAGGTCTGATTAAAGTTTAACTTCAGGGACTCCTGGGGCTCTAAGATTCCCTCCGCCACCTCTGTCCTAGCAAAGGAGCACAAGAGTTATTTCAAAATACAATGATTTATTGACCAGTGCTGGTGTTTAAGATCACTAGGAAGTATGACAGTGATCTTAAGACAGAACTATGGGCTGGAGCAGTTGGAGAAGGAGCACTTGCTGCAGAGAAACTGCGCTGGGGATTTCTGGACAAACTCTCCTCTCAAGCGAAACTTTCGGTTGGCTTTGATTACAGGCCCTTCTGAAAGGGCCTCATGTTTCAAAATACAATCCCAGCAGCCTGAGTCAACAGCCTCCTCACTCAGCAGACACAGATTAAACACATCTGAGAATGGCCATCAAGGTACATGAGGAGCACAAAGAACAGGCTGCAGTGAGAGAATCAGATTTCCCTCTGTCAACAAAGGCTCGCTCTCAGAGCAAAGGGGGATACAACAGGAGAGCAAGCTGGGACTCTGGGTTTCATACAGCGTAGCAAGGAGACTGAGGATTTTCTAGGTTCCTGTGGCCTGCAGTACACACATGAACCCACTGTTATAAGTAAACACTCTGGCACTGGCTGCTGGGGATGTGCTGTGGCCAATTTTTTACTCTCTACAGGCAAGTCCCAGCAAAAATACTCCTGAAAGTCCTCTGGGTAGCAGAGTCCAACCAGTGCTCACTATCATCCTTGCAGCCACTGCAATAAACACCTGTAAAAACGCAGCCACCAAGCTGCCTTCTCAGGGAAGGGCAGCGCCATGTCCCTGATGGTGACTGGCTGGAGAGGAGGCAGCACACTGCCCTTCTGGGCGATGCTGCCCAGCAGCCCCCAGGCACAGAGCACACAAGCTTTCCAGGAGAACAATCCTACCTCCTGCCAAGAGGCCAGGCTGGCTCCATCTCTGTGGATTTTACTAAGGAGCTGGAGAAGGACTCCTGTAAGCAAGGGCCAGCACATCTGGCAACACCTCTGAGGAGACATCGCACATGGAGCATTTTTAGGTGCCAAGACTTCATCTTGAGCTGCAGTGCAGCACAGGAAGCAGACAAGAGGCCACACTGGGGCTCTGTCCTTGTCCTCAAGGCCAATAGTATGAGTTTCAATAAGGCCAAGTGCCAGGTACAACCCCCAGCAGTGCTACAGGTTGGGGAGGAGTGGCTGAAGAGCCACCAGTCAGAGAGG